TTTAAGACAAAAAGTGAATTCTCTCTCTCAATCTATTATTTTAGCAATCACTCTATTTGTGTTCTCTCTCAATCTCTTCATTTTTATAGAGATTCAAAAAGAAAATTTTTATTCATTTCATTCTATTTGTTCATATATTTTTCCTTTAGTAATCCAAATAGGTGATTAGTATGAAGAGAAATAGTTTTCTTTTGTTTTATTTCCAAATCACTTTTATCCCTTCATATTTTTTTTTCTCCCTCCAAATCACTCAATAAATTCAATATCCGAACATTTGTGAGAGGAAAAAAAGTGAATAGAGTATATAATGTTTTTCTTTTACAAATTTCTTCATTTTTTTTTCCCTTCGCAAATTACTGTACAAAGATAATAAGAGAATGGAGAAAGTATTTTATATAACAAGCTACGTCACATAGTCAAAATAACGTGATATCACTCTTTCACTCATTAATTGACATGTGATAAAAAATATAACTAAAATTTGATGTAACCAAACACTTAACATCTCAAGTTGAGTACAAAATGAATCCTCGGATTCTATTTTTATCACTTGTTAACTAATAAATAGAAAGTACAACACATTATCTCAACTAGGTAAGATAAATTCATGAAACACTTTTAAATTCATGAGATTTGAGAAAAAGACACAATACTAAATGAGGTGAGGGCCCTCCTACTTAAGCTAGAAACGTATCTTCAAAGATGACTAACTTTTTCTACATAATAAACAACCATCAACAATTAGCTTTTCTATAGATCATATAGATTATGACTCTTGGCCAACTACCAGGCATTATTGTTTATGATTTATTTATTTTTTCATAAACAAAATAATGTGTATGAGTAACTAAGAACGTATATTTTCAATTTTTAAGAACCACACTAACTTATTGATCAAGTAATATATGGAGAGGTAGGTAACATAGAAGAGACCAATAATTTTAGGACATGAGAAGGAGATAAAGTGAGCAGGGTATTTTTTATTTTTTTCCTCAAAAGACTCTTCCCATGCTTTCGGGAGCTTCTATTTACACACACTCATTCCCCTCTTTACACATCTTTTTCAATAAATAATTGGTTCGGAAGTAGATTTCCGAAAATAAGTAATTGGTTCGGAAGTTGCTTTCCGAAAATAAACAATTGGTTCGGAAGTAGACTTCCGAATTTTTATTATTTTTTCAACAATCAACTTCCGAATGTGTTTATTTGATGTCTATAATAGTAATTTCACTTAAAAAAAATTTATAATAAAAATAATTTTTATGAAGTGTGTGCAAAGAGGAGAAAGTGGATGTGTAAATAGAAGCTCCCCATGCTTTCCTATCATGCAACTTTTAAATTTACAAAAAGGCCATTTTGATTCATGGAGTAGATAAGGCAACAGGATATGACTATTAGGATAAATTCTAAGTTTGTATTTTGTGGCGTGAATAACTTATCAAGGAACTTTTATTTTATTTGGGATTTTTGTTTTGAGAGAGTGAAATAATTTATCTTCGGATAAGATTTTTGTAGAAAAATAATTAAACTATTTATCACAAAACAAATCATCTTAAATAAATTATTCATCTTATCTTATACACGATATAAATATGAGAATAACAAGTCGTACATATTACTCCTCGATTATGGAATTTAGAATTGGCTAACCCCAAAATGCCCCTCTTCCAAATGGCTAAAGGTTATCCGTTTCCAAATCTGTATATCCCATGTTATAATTTACTCGAATCGCACTTAAATCTCAAGATATAATTTAATGGTTAAAAAAATTCAAAATAATGAGACCCAATATCTCTTGATGTTCCAGTTTATATCAAAAAGTAAATAAACAAAAAATAAAAAAAAAATTCTTAGAAGGATTTGGAACAGTGAGACAAAAAGATTTGTGAATAGAAAAACTCGTTTCTTAGCGAATATCTCCTATGTTCTATCTTGTATATAAATAAATAAAATTAAAAATTAAAAATTAAATAAATCAAATCAAATAAATCTTAAAGAAGTAATTTGGTGGGCCATGCCATGAGAGCTCAATAAAGAACAAAAATGGACTGTAAATATTAACCTTATGGACATGCCCCACCTATTAGGTTATACAGATGAAAGAGCATTTAAGATGAAATAAATGGAGAATGAGATGTTCTTATCAAGGGCGCACTAAAAATATGCAAAATGATCGACTTGAATGACTTTCACATCCAAATGCCCCCTTCTTTTGGTACAAATATAGACCCACATTTCATGGTCATGTCTTTATCAAAAAATAATTCGCTCAATTGTTGAATTATCAACTTTTGATATATCATTGAAGGATGACTACTTCATCATCATAAGATATAACCAATTGTTGAGAAAGATGTTGGAGATAAGATCAAAAGAGTTGCTTTTGGGATTCGGACGGGAGGATGTTGTTGGGCCTGTGAAGGCCTACCACGAGTTCCGTTTCGATAATCTGAACCGTTCAATGTGTAAAACTCGTCAAGTACTATATGTATGTAAAAAATCACATTGAGCGGATATCGATAACTATTTCATCATATCAGATTTCTGTAAACTGTTTATTTTTTTACCGTTCATTTTTTTTTATACAGAACTGATTTGATCACGCAGCTATCAATATCTAATCAACATGATTTTTCGCAGGCATATAGTGCTTGACAAGTTTTACACATTAAACGGTTTAGATTATCCAAACAGGACCTGTGATGAACCTCTACGGATCCAACAACACCATCCAACCCGATCACGGACGGGAGGGAACCAATCCCTCCAAGGAGATCATGATATGTTATACGCAAAAATGCAACACAACATGAGAACATGGCCTCAAAATCCACAATTAATAGAATCTCTATCTCACCCAATGTTACTGGGGTAACCTTTGATATGGTTGGTAAGTTAAATTTTAATAATCTAAAAGCAAAAAATCAAAGGCATATTTTCTCAACTTCTTATGATTTGGTCAAGAAAATTTATAGATGCAATGATAAAAAAGAATAATATGATCACCATAAATAGAGATGTTAGATGGAGAGAAAGACTTGAACTAATATGGAATGTGGTAGTGGAAAAATATATGGATTTATTTAATTTAATCAAGCATACAACCCATGATAGGGTAGAAAGGCAAAAAAGAATTCATATAGTCAACCCTACTTGATTGGAACACACAAGGTTTGGCTCAGCTTGGTTTGGTTTTACCAACTTCTCAACAATCAATTTTTTCAGCTTAGGTAAGTTATTTTGCCTCATAAGCTGTAAACAAAAACCCAAGCAATATAGAATGCTTTTAGTAAAAAAGAAAAAGAAGAAACAGAGAAATAAAGAAGAGGAAATTGCATAACCAACAGTAAGACTTGAACCCAAACATGACACCTGATAAGGAAACATCTTATCCATTAGGTCAAGCCTTTGGCCTTATTCCACATAGCGTATAGAGCCGAAGTTCTAATTACAATCACCATTGTCATGCTAGTGACAGTGGCTATTATAAAGAGGTTACCTATCACATTGGGAAATAGCATTCAAATTAATATTCATGGTTGATGAGAATTAACAAAGTAGTAAACATGTGCACAAAAAATAAAAAAATTTAAAAAGAAAGAAAGAAAGAGTAAACTTAATGAGGCAACAATTTGAATCTAGCTGAAGCGATGAACAATAAATAAGGTCAGCCTCAAAGAACAATTCATGGTCCCATGCCTCTATAGAAGACTGATTTGGGCAGTGTCATCTGTGTTACCTGGACTCCCCCCTTCCTCTGAAGATACCCATGTCCACGTGATATGACAAAGGTAAGTGAACATAATACATTTCTGACTTCCGTACTCAGATTAGACACTTAGATCTTCTATTTTTAATGATAATATCCCGACAAAGTAAGGGTATGGAATACATGTCTAACTTCCGTACCCAAATTAGGCACTTAAATCTTCTATTTTCTAATGATGATTGGAGAAGCAACATCTTATGTTTGATAGTAAATAACAATTTTGAGCCTCTCACATGGATGGAGGATAATTTTTTTTTACTTCCTAAATCTCATTTAATTTCAAGTATAACTAAACTATGACATCATCTTATATCAAAATATTATATATACACAATATATTTAAATGATTATAATGTGTCCACGTACTCAGAGCTAACTTTTGGATATAAGTCCCTAAAATTAAGATTTAGAAAGATCTAGCACGTAAACACACTCCCATACCCAATGCTCGGACTTGAGTCCATGTAACATAGGTGTCTATGAAAAGGATCCAAAACTTCACCTGGTAAATATAGTGTAAAAGGATGGTCAGACCATATAGAAACTTGGTAGAGACTCTTTACCAAAGAGTGTAGCTGTAGGTCTGATGCAAAGCAATTATTGAAGGAGCAGAGAAGAGGGTGAATCTGAATTATTTATTTATTTATTTATGACTAACTCAGGAATGTTGGCTTATGCACTGAAGGACACAAAAGATAGGGTCTAGAAGTCAGAAGATGTGGAAAGTACTATTGTAGAAATTTCATACACCGATTTCTGAATAAAGCAGTAGCTACTGGCTGAGCATTAGCTAACAAAGTCTAAACTCTAATGGCAATGTGGAAATCAGCCAAGAAACGTAGAGAAGGTAGTAGAAAACAGAACTCTGAAAGAAGCTAAGAATGCCTAATGAACATGAGAAATGCCACTGCTACATCTGAGAGAGACACCATGATGAAAAGGACGTTCCAATCTAAACAAATCCCTAGTCAAATTGAGTCCCTTGCATCATGCCTACGAAAAATTCTAGCCTTCTCAAGAAATCAAATATTTTAAGGATTAATTTATAAACTCTAACATTCAATCTTGGAGCTTTTGAAGGTGGAGTGGATTCAAACCAGTACATAAAGAATGCACAACAATTCGGAAATCAATCACTAAAATTGACTTCTACAGAGACTATTTATGCAGAAAGCACAAAGAACAACAACAAAGTTACTAATAGCAACGGTCAATGCAAGTCAAATATTAGTTGACATAAAAAGAATTGGAAAGAATGGATTGAATGGTCTAGAGACCAACAACTCAATGTAAAAGGCTAATTTTATATGAATTTAAAGTTAAATACAATCTAGAGCAAGCATGAGATACAAAAAAAAAAAATGACAAAATGCTACCCATTGTCTGCAAAAATTACTTGGATTTATGATCCTTCAGTTAGTGTCATTCCTCCTCTGTAATTGGATGCCTGGGGAAATTTCTCCTGAACTGTATTTTATATTACCAACGGTGATACATCAAACGATTTCCATACAAACTCAATCTGGTTTCTTGCTAAAGAGCAACACTCCATTCAACTTAAATCCATTGGTTTCCGTAGTCCATTTTGAATTATGCATAATAGGTTAAATATGACAAAGCTTCGGCTAAGTATCAAGTAATGTACCCCAGCAATAGACCAACAATTTCTATCCCATCCCAACTTTCAAAAAAGGTAAAATATGACAAAACTTCTGCTATTCCATCAACTAATGCACCCAAACAATTTCTATCCCCAACTACACTTGCTTCAATAGAAAAGAACCAAATCCGAACTCAATATCTCAAACCAACATGTTGGACATCGCAAAAGATTTCAATTGTTTGTTTTCAGCTCAATGGGAAACCCTTGAAATTGTATCTTTCCCTGAAGAGCCTCAACAACTTCAGGAATCACATTCATATACTTGCTCACATACCTCTTCACAAACATCTTTTCAGTCATTGTCAATGCATAAAGTAGGCTTACATCTTTTTTGATTGCATCTTTTGACATCAGAAGTTGCAGAACTGAACACCTTGGAATAATCCTTTTCTCCAAGCTAAGAAGCAGAATATTTGGGTTCTTGGAAATCATGGAAGGCTTTAACTTCAACTCATTCACAAAGAAACCCATCAGTTTCTTGATCTTCTTCTCTGATGCAATCATACACATGGGTTGCAATTTGAATGCTGAAATAATCTCATCCTTCGACAACCCGAAACTACAATAAAGTCCCAACTTTTGTTCCCAAAGTGATTTACTCATGACCGCCAATGAACGGACAGCTAAAACAAATAGAAGATTTTTGGGATCAAAACCCAGTTTCTCAACTTCATCAACAACCTCACTAAACCGATTTCCTCTTAAAAGCAAAGACTTCGGTTGAATCAAGATCAATTTCAAGATTTTTGACTCAGGTACCCCACGATTGATCAGATTTGCAATGTTCGGCTCAAATACTTTCTCCAAATCATATTCAAGTATCCGATATGATGCCTTTATTGCTTTTAACACATTTTCATCGGAGCCTACGACACGCCTAATAACTTCAATGGAAGGCATAATCTTGTTTTGAAGGCTCCTTTCAAGAATATAAGGTTCAGATGACAAAATCTGGGCAATGTCAGCACCCGAAAACCCCAAAGATTTGAAATACTCCAACTTCGGCTTAAAAATTTTGGTTGCATTGTATATATACAAAACCGGGCGCTTCATGGTTAACATATAAATTTGCTTTTCAGTAAATTCGTAAGCCCTAAAGAACTCAACAACAGCATCCGCATCGGATTCAAGAACACGCGGCTCTTTATTGAGTAATTCCACAAAGCTAGAGCCTTTAAATCCCAGAGAACCAAGTAAATCAATATTGGGTTTAAGGGTTTTTATTGGATCAGCTAGAAGAATCAGTGGACGATTGGTTATCATATTTCTAATGTGGATTTTGCTTAAACCATTGGATTTCAAGAGGTTCAAGACTGAGTCAGGCTGGTCTGTGGTTTCAAATTGGACCTTCTTGGAAGCTGAAATAGCTGATTCTAAGGACAACCCACAAGATTTTGAGAGGTAAGAGACTGTTAGAGATTGTGGGTCAGTTGAATTTAAGAAATCTGAGGTGGGTTTGAGAGATGATGTGGAGAAGAAATAGGCATGAAGTGTAGTTGAAGATAAGGGTATTGTGTGTTGTAGTCTCTTGCAAATTAAATGAATCATTTTGAACTGGTATTATATGTGTGTATATATATATATATGCACATGTACTTACCAGGATAGAGAGATCTTCTACATCAATGGCGTCTTTCTCTGCGAATCTGCGTTTGGTTTTCGGTCGTTAAACCAGCTGCAAAACCCTAGCCAAATGGGTGAACTTTTTGGAGAGAGAGGAGGCGGAAGCTGAAAATGACGTCGTTCTCCGTTCAAGACGACGTCGTTCTCCGTTCAAGACGACGATTTGATTGTATATTTTAAAAAAAAAAAAACTATTCAAATTTTTTGTAAGTGTGTCTAAATTAAGCAAATCTAAAAAAATAAAAATAAAAATAAAAATGATAAAAAAAATCTCTACAAATAAATAAAATATCTAAATGGGTGAACTTTTTGGAGAGATAGGAGGCGCAAGCTGAAAATGACGTCGTTCTCCGTTCAAGACGACGTCGTTTCACATTTTTTTTTCGTATTTGATTGTACATTTTAAAAAAAAAACTACTCAAATTTTATATTTTTGTAAGTGTATCTAAATTAAGCAAATCTAAAAAAATAAAAATAAAAATAAAAATGATAAAAAAAATCTCTACAAATAAATAAATATATCTATACATATGAATTAAAAAAAATTTAAAAAAATTGAAAATTCAAACCAAACATAATATGTATATTGATAGATTTGTTAGTGTTAAATGCACCTACCATAGTGTTGCATTAGGTTTCATTGTAACTTGTAAGTGTTTGATTCATATGTAAATCAATAATTGACATGTAACAATTCATATCATTGAAGTTGAATTTAAAAGTAAAAGAGTCTTAAGGTTTTTACTAAATAAAGTATGATAAAAATATAGAAAAAATTACACGCCAATGGAGTTTTTATAAAATATTTATAAATTAAAGAAAAAATTATAAATTTAATTATTAATATGTTAAAGTTTGAAAAAAATTAGTAAAAAAATCACTCTCTAATTTTAAATAGTAAGTAGAGTTGCAAATGAATCGAATTGTTTGTTAGTTGGTTCAGTTTGATTCAAATGAGCCGAGTTCGAATTCGAATATTAAACTCATTTAGTAAATGAGTCTAACTCGAGCTCAAATAAACTCAACTAGTTTTATCATTATTTAAATTATATAATAAATATATTATTTATATATTAAATAATAGTATAAATATATTTATTTATGTATTAAATAATAAAAATAACAAAAAAGATCTTATCAAGTTGAGCTGAGCTGAGCCGAGCCGAGCTCTAATTCAATAAATGAGCTCGATAAGCAAACAAGCCGAGACTCAACTCGTTTGCAACCCTAGTAGTAGGAAATGTCCCATATATATTTTTTTAGTAGTTAAGATCCCCAAATAATATTAGTAGAGAAATTTCAGTTCATCACAGAGAGAAATTTCTTTGTGAAGCTGAAATTTCTCTGTGAAAAAAGAAATTTTTTCATGAAACTGAAATTTCTCTAAAAAAATTTCTTTAAGAAGAGCTAAAAATTTCACTATCTGTGAAAATGTTGAGGGACTCAACTACTAGGAAAATATTGCATGTCATTTATCTTATAAAATCCTAGTATTAGGGACCTTAAACTAAAACCTCATAAAATTTTCCATTTGATTTGAAGTATTTTTTTCAAAAGGTATCCTATCTGCAATTTTTCCAAAAATATACAATACTTATTAGGGATATTTATCGATAAATCCCATCCCACAAATAATTGCACCAATTGGTTCCAACGTTGTATCTGTTGTTTTGATTAGTCCTATTAGTGAAAGAATATTATTCCTGTTTGATCCTATTTCCCTTATTTAGTAACATTTACTGGTCAGTTATACCCTTTATTTCTCGTGGGTCGTTTTTTGTGGGTTTGGTCGTGCATATTTGGCAACTCGAATATTCGAGTACAATATGTTTCCTCCATTACGTTAGGGTTTTGTGACTGATGTGACAATGTGCGTTAGTGATTAGTGTGTTTGTGGGCTGTACAGACGGTGAATCGAAATTCCGCTGGCAGTAGTTCTAGTGTTCTGGAGGTATTGTTTGTTTCGGTTGTTTTCGTGTGCGTCGTAACTGGTTGGTGTGTATGTGTGTATTTAAATTGCATGTTGTGCCATATAATGCTCATATTATAATGGTTGTTTCCCATTCGTATGGGGTTGGCATATTCATATTCAATATTTTAACGGTTTTTGGCCATAAAAATCGTTTTTGTGATGACACAGTGGGGTCATTCATTGTTGTTTTGGTTGTTCCACTTCATGTTCCTGTGTAAGTTTATATGCTTTTTCCCCTTATATGTTTGCAACACAGTGGCGAGTATTTTGTGTATTTGATATACATTGGTGGGATTTGTGTAGGGTATAGGAGTGGATGGGGGTGTTGCAATATATTTGTATATTAAAGTGTGTTGCATTGCACTTATGGTAATCTAAAATTGGTTGTTACATTATTTGCATATTGTAGGGATGGACGCTCATGTTATGTTGGTGTATTGTTACCATGATACGAACGCCGCCATCAAGTTGCAATTTACATTTCAATTCGATGATTTGGTTACTTGTGTCCGCGAAAAGTTTGATGGTCTCACACATGCTGATATGTGTTTGTTTTTCAAGATACTGAGATACAACAGTTTCAAATTACAAAATGATATCGATATAGAAAACATGGTATCCCTTGCATGGTCTTTCCAATTAGGACATATTGATGTCGTCATTGAAACTCGAGTGACGCAAAGTACGAACGGTATTGGCAACACAAATCGGAAACCATGTGATGCTACGTTCAGTTTAAGAGACGAGTCGGACGCTGATAATGAACAAGATGATTTACTCCCCAAATTTTGTCCTCATGTTGCTAAAGTTTTCATGTCCGCTCCATGGGCTAATGGCATCACACATGTGGGTCAAAGCTTCAAGGGAGTGGCTGTTGAATTTCGCAATGTCCTCCGTAAGTATGCGATTGAATGTGGATTCCAATTCAAGTATCTAAAGAATGACTCCGTTCGAATTACAGTTGTGTGCATGATGAGGGAATCAAAGGGATGCATGTGGTCTATACACGCACGAGTCCTGCATGCTGATGAGTTCTTCTACATTCATAAGTGAAATACAGAGCACAATTGCGGTGTTGCCATTCGAACACCAAAAAACCCAAGGGCTGGGTCTGATTTAGTGTCCGATGTTATCTCTGAACGAGTACGTGACAAACTGCTCACACGACCATTCGATGTTGTCTACGACATGAAGAAAGATTATGGATTAGAGATAAACTACGCGTTGAAAAAGCAAGGGGTGAGATGTTCGGTGCACATTCCATTTCGTTCGATCAGTTACGGTGGTATAATAATTATGTTATGGAAAACAATCCAGACAGTTACATTAACATTGACTATGATGACCAAAATCACCGGTTTATACGATATTTTATATCATTCAGAGCATGCATCGATAGTTTCAATCATTGCCGCCCTTTACTATTCTTGGACGATACCTTCTTGAAGGGGAAATTCAAAGGCAACTTGCTAGCTGCTACCGTAAGGGATGGCAATCAAGGTTATGCTCATTCATACCACACACTCTATTAATGCCATAATTATTTTTGTTGCATTTTTTCACTCAATGGTGTTTATGTCTTATCCATTTACTGAACCCACTATCAATTGTGTACACAGGCTTATTCCCATTGGCAATAGCAATTGTCGACTCGGAGAACACAACTAATTGGGCTTGGTTCTTGGAACACCTCGCGAACGTGGTTACAACGGACAGGACGATAACATTCATATCAGACCGACACACAGGCCTACTCGAATTTATTCCAAACACATTCACAGCTGCCCACTATGCGTTCTGCTTGTAACATTTGCAACGGAGCTTCCAAGACAAGATACGATACACCAACAAGATGCACCGTATCAGTTTGCTAAGCAACTTTTGGAAATGCCGCTACGCACCGACCGTAACAACATTCAATTCCAGTTTAAAAAGGTTTAACACATCGGGCAGGCAAGTGGCAGCGGCTTTTCTGAAAGATTTACCCCCGTCGTATTGGGCAAATGCCTACTTCCGGTACGCACCCGGTCATGAATATAATGAACCAAATCAATTACATATAATGCCGCCTGAATGAATTTTTTGTTCATAATTACATGAATTTATTTTTACATTTCATCCTTGTTTTTAGGGGTGACAGATATGGTGAGATATGTTCCAATGCTGCTGATTCATTCAACTTGCGGATCCGCGAGGCACGCCACCTCCCAATCACATAGATGGTTGACAGCATTAGAACGAAAATTATGGATCCAATGTCAAAAAGCCGACGTAAGGCAGTCGCGTAGCCTGGAGTTCTTTGCCCCAAAATGGAATCTCGGTTGGTAAAAGCATACAACAAAGGCAAGACATGGCATGTAAGCCAATCAAATGATGATGTGTACGAGGTCTATTTGTACCCATCAGTACTTGTGGATGTTAGCAGGCAAACATGTTCGTGTTTTCAATGGCAAATAAAACGGTTTCTATGTACATACGCGATGGTTACAATCCGTAACAGCGGACGAGATTTGTACAAGTTGGTTGAACCATATTACCATGTATCCGAATATCGTTTCACATACGCTTCAAGCATAACTCCAATCCCAACTATCGAGAAACCACCGTTCAATACTAAAGATTTCATTATACACCCACCAATTGTGAAACGACAACCGGGGAGGCCAAAGAAAAAACAGATTCTGTCACGGGGGGAAGAAGTGCAGCTAATTCGTTGCGGACATTGTCAACGCATGGAGAACCACAATAGAAAGACACGTAAAGAACCAATTTAGCTGTTACTGCATAAACCTACATGTCTAATGTTTTTGTTCCAAAGTTTGTCACTACGGTTTAATTTTTTTTCTTAAATAAGTAGGTGCAAAAACACCAAACATACCGTACTATTACTTTTTGCATTATTACGTGTGTTTTTATTATGTAAGTCAACTGACTAATTTGGGTGACACAAATCCCTAAAATGAACATGTTAGCCCCAAGGTTATTCAACTTTAAATTTCTATTGATTTTGATTATGAACAAATATTTTGAACTTATTTTGTTATTTAAAGTTTTCAAAATAAAAATATAATAATTGTGCTTCATGGTTCTAGAAGTTATATAATTCTAAAGTAATAT